GGCAAATTCTTGGGACATATGGTGAGCAGGCGCGGTATTGAGCCCAACCCTGAGAAGGTGCGCGCCATCCTTGACATGGAAGCTCCACGAAATGTCAAGGAGGTGCAGCGCTTGACCGGTAAGTTGGCTGCGCTCAGCCGCTTCCTTTCCAAGGTAGCAGACCGAGCCGCTCCGTTCTTCCAAGCTGTGAAGAAGTCCCGAGGGTTCGTGTGGACGGAAGAATGCCAACAATCCTTTGAATCCCTCAAGTCTTACCTCCTCTCTCCTCCGGTTCTCGCGAAGCCCGAAGCGGGGGAGACGTTGTCCTTATATTTGGGAGTTTCACCCAAAGCTTTGAGCTCGGTCCTAGTCCGAGACGAAGGTGGAGCTCAGCACCCGGTGTATTATACGGCAAAGACGCTGAGGGGTGCCAAGCTCAGATACTCTGTAGCCGAAAAGACGGTCCTCGCCGTGGTCTCAACCGTGCAGCGTCTAACACCCTACTTCCAAGCTCACCCGGTTCAAGTGCTCTCCCAACAGCCCATTGGTGCGCTGCTCAGGAGCCCGAACGCGCCTTCGCGCATGTCCAAGTGGGCGGTGTTTCTTGGAGCTTTCCAGATCGAATTCAAGCCAAGGCCAGGGATCAAGGGCCAAGCGCTAGCTGACTTCGTGGTGGAGTGCACCGCTCGGGAGGAGCCGAGCCCAGAAGAGCCGGAAGCCGATGACTGGTGGATAGTTTTTACCGACGGCTCCTCCGCCGCCAAAAACTCGGGGGGTGGAGTGGTAGTCATCGCTCCCGAAGGCTTCAGAGCATACTACTCAATTCGATTCGTTTTCAATGCATCAAACAATGAAGCGGAATATGAAGCGCTCCTGTGCGGGCTACGCCTAGCAGCCGGGATGAACGCAACAAAGCTAAGGGTAAAATGTGATTCAAAGCTGGTGGTTGGCCACGTCTCGGGTGAGTTCGAGGCGAAGGACGAAAGAATGAAGAAGTACAGAGATACCGCTCTAGAGTTGCTTAAGAATTTCACCGCATATAGTGTGGAGCAGATCCCTCGGGCGGAGAATGCCGAGGCGGATATCTTGTCGAAGCTGAGCTCAGATACGCCCGAGCATATCAGGCGGATGGCGAACGTGGAAGAATTGTCCGAGCCGAGCATCCATGCCTTCCCCGTGGGGATGATCTGCGCTCGGCCAAGAGATTGGATGGACGACATAGTCGCCTTCTTGAAGGATGGCGCCCTCCCGGACGACGCGGTAAAGGCCAAGTTGGTCCGCACTAGGGCGCCCGGGTACACTTTGGAGGGTGAAAAGCTATACAAGCGAGCATACAACGGTACGCTACTCAGGTGCCTCCGACCAGCTGAAGCGGAGCAAGTCATGGAGGAGGTGCACGCGGGGATCTGCTTCGCCCACCAAGGAGCCTACGCGGTATCAAGGAAGATAACCCTCCAAGGATATTTTTGGCCAACGATTGTTAAGGATTGCGCAGAGTTTGTGAGAAAGTGCAAGGTGTGCCAAAAGTTCCAGAAGGTACCGGGGAGGCCTTCGACAAACTATACCCCCATCAGCACCGCTATCCCGTTCGCGCGGTGGGGGGTGGACCTCGTAGGTGCGCTTCCCAGAGGTACCGGGAACGTGCGATATGTCATTGTAGCCATCGACTACTTCACCAAGTGGGTGGAGGCGTCCCCGTTGGCGAGCATCACTGGAGCTCAATGCCAGAAGTTTCTCGCGAAGCAAGTCATCTGCCGCTTCGGCGTTCCCGAACACGTAATCACAGACAATGGAACACAATTCGAATCTAAGCCCTTCAACGACTTTCTCGAAAGTTGGGGGATCAAGCACAGCTATGCGTCGGTTGGGTACCCGCAGACGAACGGGCAGGTCGAGAACGCCAACCGAACGATAGTCGACGGGCTGAAGCGGAAGTTGGAAGCTTGTGGAGGGGAGTGGGCAGAGGAGTTGCCCTACATATTATGGACTTACCGGACCACGCCCCGAAGGGCAACCGGGGAAACCCCGTTCGCTCTATGCTACGGATTTGAGGCAAGGGCACCCGCAGAGATCTCCATCGCAACCCATCGGGAGGCGGTCTTTGACCCCGAGCGCAATGAGGAAGCCCTGGCAGCTGAGCTCCACCTCGTGCATGAAAGACGAGAGGCGGCCTTCATTCGGGCAGAAAATTACCGCAGGAAGGTGAAGAGCTACCATGATGGGCGCGTGCGCGCGCGAGGATTCGTTGAAGGAGATTGGGTATTACGCAAGAGAACGGTGAGCCGCCCCCTAGAAGGAGGAAAGTTTGCCAAAAATTACGAAGGCCCGTACATCATCAAAGAAGCGGTGGGTCCTTCGACGTTCCGCCTGCAGACGCCGAGCGGAGGGGACGTGCCAGGACATGGAATGCCGAGAACTTGGTTAAGTTTTATCAGTAGATCTCTTATGTACACGGACCCCAAAGTGGGAACCCGTAGATCTTTTCGGTTGAACTCAATGGAATGAAGTTTTTTGCGAAAAGAACCTGCTTGAGCACCCGCGCTCGGCGCTCCTCCTCAAGAGGGAAACTGAGTGCAGACCATACCCGGATGTTCTTCCCGGATGGAGGTCACACTCGCGCTCGACGCTCCCCCCAAGAGAGGCCGAGCGCAGACCATACCCGGATGTTCTTCCCGGAT